GTTAGGACAAAAACTCATTGGAGAGACGAAGGTTATAACATTTAATAAACTGTAACCGTTGGTTAAACCATTGTTAATTTAATGGGTGTAAAAAACGTGTGTTATTGTACTTTATTACAATACTAAAGGATTATTTTGGAGGATTTGTAGGTACACTTTACCCTGAAATGTTAATTAATGCATTAATTAACAAGCATGTACTAACGTGTAGTTAAGATAGTATATTCATGCAGGAATTCATATGACTCATGTCATAGTTAAGGTTAGTTCCTCATTAGTACATGTCTTAACTCACCATTAGTTCATAGTAAAGTAATTATTAATTCAGGTATTAGTACATGATTATTCATGTACTATTATTGTAAAGTGTTTCCGATTTGTATTTTGTTCAAGTGCAGTTTATATTGAATACTTCCAAATAAAAACACACCTTAAAAATGTATTTAATTTTTTTTTTTTTTTTTTTGCAGTGGTGTTTCATGGTTTGACAGTCAGTTAAAATCCATACAGGGTTTTCAGTTTTTTTTATTCATTTTTTATTTTGTGATTTAACTGAGCAATAGAGTGCAACAATATGGCTCTGGGAGTAAAAATGCCATTTAAAAAAAATCCATAAAAACAGATTTATAAACCTTTTAAGAGAGACCTTTTGTGAGCTCTGAGGTTAAGAGATAGAAGCTATACAGTCTGTCAATATGACTTATTGTTTAACAGCGAAATCGATTGGTCCATTGTAACTTTCCACTACAGTGCAAATGAGAATAAAATACGTTTTTTTCAGCAATATTGATCTAAATATTTGTGTTTTGATGGCCATTATTTAATGTTGTAAATCTTAAAACAATTAGTGTTTTAAATGACCATTATAAAACGTTAAACACAATACAATAAGTATTAAATTTAAAGTTAAAATTGTACTTTTTTACTTTAACTCAAGTATGTTTTTGGCTATATACTTGGACTTTTAATTGAGTCAAATTTTCGCTCAGTATCCCTTTCACTATAAATTTTTGCGAGTGTTTTACACCCCTGATAACAAGAAGCACCGGGGATGTAAAGTCAAGGCTGCTGGTGTTATTTATGCATGCTATGCCCTGTCCTGACACACACCTCTATTGTGGTTGAACAGCATGTTATTAGTCTTCCATTATATGCCACTATCTGAAACAAGATTGCGTCTTGCACGGCTGCACTTTCATTCCGGTGAGAGAATCCTGGACACATGCGGTACAGTTTGGGAATACCAACTTGCAAAGAGTTTTAGAGTTGGCAGTTTAATAGCCTGTTGAAAAGACCAGCGTATGAGGCGTTTTGGATCCTGGGATTCTTCTTAACTGCAGTGGTCAACATTTGAAGTGGATCAAAACCTTTCATCAAAGTTATGCATGATTTTTGAACAATACCCGTTATTGTCTTAGAACAACTTTGATTAACTTTTATGATCCACTTCAAATGTTGAACAATGTAGTAACACTCAAGGTGTGATCACATTTGATTGGCGAAATTTAGTGGGCAAAATGGTGTCGGGGGCCATTTTGGAACACAGCCATAATGAAAATTAGACAGCTAATTTACCAATCATATCTTTGAGAACAGGGAATTGTTTACTCTCAAAACCATATAGTGCTTTATACAATACAGATAGTTTCAAATCAGCTTTGAAGTGATGAACAGGAAATTCAGTGATGCAATCAGAGTTCAACTCTTCTGTGAAACAGTGAAGTCGTCATCCAGGAAGGTGTCAGAGAAGTCAATATTGGTGAATATTAAGTGAATCTGAACGAATATCATGTATGAATAAGTCCTATCCTTCACATATCATTCAGCCTGATTTGTAAAATGGCAAACTTTCCTATTTTGATTAAACGTTTCCTTCAGCGTGTTTTGAACCCTAGAACATTCCTCTAAGAATGTGACAAGGCCACATGCAGAGCTTGTTCATTTCACCCAATGGCAAGATCTGACCTTCTAGCAGAAAGGAGGGAGGAGGTGAACAGAAATCTGTTGGAGGCGGACACAAAAACATCATTGAGCAGGAGGCCAAGAGAGACAGCCAGAAATAAGCAGGAGAGATTGTGAAGGCGAACAGAAATGAAGTCTAAACTAGAACTAACTTGGAAGAGGAACAAGAAATGTGTCAAACTGCAGTGCTTTTCACTTCACAGCGCCCCAAGCTTTCTCCAGAGAAACTCTTCTGCGGTGTGTCGTTTGGAAAATGAATAGTCAATCACACTTTGCACTAAACAGAAATGAAATAGAAAGGAGAGAATGTAAGTGTATAAGCGGTTGCGTCAGATCATTGGGTTTCTGGCAGGCCTTGATGTTGTTCAAGGTGAGAGATGAGAATGGCAGCAGACGGGGGAATCTGCAGACGTATCTGCCCGCTGACCTTGCTTTCCCATTTGGCCAAAGTTGAGAACTGAGTTATACTATAGCATGGGGAACTTCATGAAAACCCCTCCCAAGAGTTACAGCCTTCAGCTATTGATCACAGAGAGCATTTAGACTGAGATAAAGACTTCACTGTTGCTGCTTCTCCTTGACAGGAGGTGTTTATTTTCATGGTCCAATTTCGAAAAACATGAAAAATGTTCAAAGTGACTTATAAATGAAGGAACGGTTCTGTCATCATTTACTCACTCTCGTGTCAATCTAAACTTTTTGTCCTTGGAAAACAAAATGCGAAAAATTGGACTTTTCCATTAATTACATAAACTTTCATTTTTCACAAACGCATTGCTTTAGAACACTTGGCATATGTATTTATACACTCTGAAGACCAGTTCACACCAAGGACGATAACTTTAAAGATAACGATAAAGATAATAATAGTCCTAAAAATCGTTCTCTATAATAAAGAACAGCAGAGTTCACACCACACGGCACAGAGAAACGATATCGTTTAAATCACTTTCAGAACGATTTTGTCCAACCGATGAACGATAAAAACATTGACAGCCAATCAGAATCCACTCTACTGTAACGAGCTCGAGCATTTAAAGTGACAGATGACAAAACTAAAGGGCATGCTTATAATAAACAGAACAATATCTTTATCGTTATTGTTAGTTATCGTTCTTGTGAACGGGCCTTAAGCCTCTAAGAGCCCTGTCATACACCCGGCGCAATGCAGATCCAGGCGCGACACAAGTGGGGTTTTTTTTTTTGCTAGTTTCAGGCCGACGCAGTTATCATTTTCACGGTTTAATAATTAAATCGAAGACCTTTCTGTCTCTATTGACAGCCTACGCAACTACCACTTTCAAGCCTCAGAAAGGTGCGTTCGTATGGTTGCATTGTTCTCATGCCATTTTCAAAGAGTGGTAGACAATAAAGGATGGATCCAGACAACGGTGAAACTCAGTTGGTGGATACACTTGAGAAACCTCAGTCTCTGTATCTTCATCTTGTGTAAAAGCTAATCAGTCTAATCTGATTTCTGATATTGGGCCAACTTTACTGCAGTTTCCATTTCATTTAAACGATGCAGGGGTTGGTTGGGCTCCAAGATGCGGAGATATTTGCGTTCATTCCTAGACAAGAGAGAGAGAGAGAGAGAGAGAGAGAGAGAGAGAGAGAGAGAGAGAGAGAGAGAGAGAGAGAGAGAGCGGCTCAAATCTGTTACATAACCCTACGCAGGCTCAAGTCATTTAAAACATATGTTTTCAATCAGCTTCGAGATCCAGCGCTGAGCTATGTCTGTTTCTTCACGTGGGAACCCATCGATCAGGCTCTCATAACCCCGGGGCCAGTGTTAAAGTTGATGTGAAACAGAAGTTGCGATTGTGACGCATATCCGAGTGAAACGGCTTCTCGAACAAGAAACAAATGCAGGGCGGGACTTGATTTTGTCCATGGGGAATTGATTGGATGGTTGTGGTTTGCTATTGGTGGATCTCATGTGAGTGACAGGTTGCCCCGCCCTCACACCAGTAAACACATCACCAGAGAAGAGAAGAGATGAGCTGCAAGAGAGAGGGGAAGTTATTTTGATTAAAGATTACGAGGCACATGGATAAAAATAATATATATATATTATTTGTACGGAATATATGGATAAATCATTAATGAATACTGCATTAATAGTGGTGACTTTAAGATTCTGTCTCTAAAGTGTTGCAATCATTTATTATGTTTTTATGTCTGGGAAACTTGAGCATTTAGTTTTCTGTGATGTTTTAAACAATGTTCTGTGAAATCTGCATGCTCATGTAAAATGATTTAGAGTGATTTATCAGTTGTGGGTTGAAAATGCTAAACACATCATTTATATTTTGCACCATATGCCATCGATTTCCAGCAAAATAATATCCATGTATTATTTTGGTATTTTATATGTTGTATTTATGCATTTTTAATATGTCGTTTTAGATACACTCTTAAACTATAGATAGATAGATAGATAGATAGATAGATAGATAGATAGATAGATAGATAGATAGATAGATAGATAGATAGATAGATAGATAGATAGATAGATAGATAGATAGATGGATGGATGGATGGATGGATGGATGGATGGATGGATGGATGGATGGATGAATGGATGGATAGATCAATAGATCTATAGATCGATGAATGAAATATTTTTAAATCAGAAGCTAAATGGTTTTACACAATCGACTTTATAAATTCGAACAACTTAAAAAAAACACAAAATTCTTTATAAAACTATTTAGCACCATAAACCAGTGGAGAATCTAATGTAACGTCAAGACGTTTTAATCTCCAAAGAACCATATGGCAACTCAAGAACTATATACAGGTAAAAAGGTGTTTTTTTAAGAGTACATGAAGAGGCTATTAGCGCTGATCTCTCTTGATGCTTATGACAGCGTCAGCATCACCTCCATCCATACAGATGCGGCAGGAGATCGAGATCGGAGCCGGCGCGCATGAGAGCGAAAGGGGCGGGGGAATGAGAGAGAGAGAGAGAGAGAGAGAGAGAGAGAGAGAGAGAGAGAGAGAGAGAGAGAGCGCACAGGCTGATCTCTATCTATCTCCCACAGATCTTTCTATGTTTTAAAACACAGAGCATAGGACTTGCTGGTCGTTGACGGTGGCACAGCAACCCATAATGCGCGCCGTCTTCTGAAAACGTACAGCGGAAGGGTAAACGTCTGTTTGTTTAATATCTAATAGCGCCTGCGAATGGATGAACGGTGGTTTTAACTCTCACGGGTCATGTTTGTTTCAGGCGCGAGGGATGATGGCTTAGTCGCGTGCGGAGCGCCGATGCTGCACGATGAGTGTAGCGCTGCAAGATTTACGAAATAACGTGAGTCGCACTGATGCCCTTTTTTTTTTATCACATCACAACATCTGCAAGCCGTGTCATTGGGCGAATTGATCGGAGCTGCTTTAAATTGATTCTTGGCACGTAAAAAGGCAAATTGTGCACATTTGGAGATGCACCACATCATGATTATCGCGCGTCTGTTTTTTTATGTTTACACTTCGGTTGCGCAATGACTGATGTAACGAAACTCATGACAAATGCTGTTCTACTCTTGTATAACGCAACAAACTGTTTATTTTTAACCAACGTTTTATTGTATTTGTGTTTCCTGGTTTCCACACTCGTTTCCGCGTTTCATTGAGCACGAATTCGCATCTTTTTTTTATGGAAATAAACAGTTGATGTACGTCAACATGTTCGTGAGACTGAAATGTGACATCGCTATAATAGCGCTGCTCTCTATCACAAACAAACTATTTCTTGAAACGCGTGTAGATTCCCTGAAACCATTTAACTATTCCCCGAAGACAACACGACACGCCGAACTCGTTGGTTTTCTAGAATAACACAGATTCCTTTTTACTGTAGAACAGCTGCTTCCCAACTCCAGACGAACTGGTTTTTATCCTTTGACTCTTTGTTTGTTCGAGGTTTCGCTCGTTTGTTTACAGGGAGTGGCTTCGAGAGCATCTTGAGTTGCACAGCGCTTTATAGACTGGCGTACGCTACCATGGCAACTGGGGGGTCGCGCGAGGATAGTTGTACTGTAACAGGTAGGACTGTGCCATTCTCGCGCGAGCTCTCCTTTAGTACATTTTTTTTTTCATTTTTAAATTAGAGTCATGTCGTTTGAGTAATGGTTGTTAGTTAGATATGATACAAACAAAACATGAACTATTTTGAAATTGTGAGTGGTGCTCGTGCAAAACTCTGTAGGACCATATTACACGGACACTGCAAAATGGTCAGATAACCTGAAATGCATATGTACACTTAATACTACAGAATCAATCTGAATATGTTAGGTTGAAGGCATTGACATTGAGGGAGACTAGTTTTATTCTGGTCTGCTCGTCAATGTCGAAATTATTTAGATGGCCAATCAAATCAAAGAGCGCCAATTCCAATTCCAGTCAGTTTAACGTTGAACTGAGAGTGATGTAAGATGCAAATAGGGAAACATTTTAAAATATGTCAAATGTTTTGCGAAAGAAATGTTAAAAGGCCGACAGTAACATCCAGTGATGCAAACTACTCGACTTTTTTCTCAAATATGGCTGTTTTGAATTGAAAATATAGTGATTCATGTAATCGGTTTTCGACATTTTAGGTATGCAAATAAAGCGTGAAAGACATGGTAACGGCCTTGGGTTACCTACACAAACAAATGTAATTTTAAGCTCAGATAGAAGTAAGTACATAAAGCCCCCCTGTGGTGAAAATCAAGTTTTTAATGTTGTTTATATGTCTATGTTGTGTTTTTTATATGCTTTAAGACAAACCATGTACAAATTCATAAGTCAACACCATTGCTGAGTATTTTCTCCTTAAAACTGCAGTGAATCAAAGACAGTCTCAAAAACACGTTTGAAATCGCTGGTGTTTCTGACGTCACAAACATATCGTGATAGTCAACGAGTGGATTTCTGAGCTGCTGTGAGTGAGTGGAGGCGGGGCTAATTTGCATATTCATAGTACCTTGTATACTAAATGAGGTAAGGGTGTAAAGTTACATTCAAGCTATTTTAAGGCATGAAGATTTTTTTGTCAAGGAAAAGAAACGTTTAAATATGTAATTTTGGTGATCAAAGATGAGTTTTAAGGGATACAATTATGGATTACAGGGTGACTTTAAGTTTGTGTGTGCATTGTGTGTGCCTGCCAGCAAGGTGCTGTACAGTAACGGTGGTGTTTTAAGTGGTTGTCACACATTGTTATTTGGTTGCTAGGCTTATCTGATAGTTGCTATGGTGTTGCCAAGTTGTTGCTTAGTGGATCCTTACTAGCTCAAGTTCTTATCTTATCTTATTTAACCTTTATTTAACCAGGCAAGCCACTTAAGAACGAATTCTTATTTACAACAGCCTGGCAGGAGAATAATCTCCCCGGAGGACATACAGACAGACACTGTACAAATACAATAAATCAAAATATAAAACAAAGAAAAAGGGATTAGTGAAAGCATTTACAAATAGTAACCGAAAGCTCCCTAATAATATGTTAAAAGCAGAGATTGAATACGTCTCCATTTTCAGTGATTTTGTAACACATTCCAATCATTTGGTGCAGCAAAGCTGAAAGCAGAACAGCCTTAAACGCTTTTCTTATAAAACACAGATAAGCCTATACAGTGAATATACACTAATGTATACATTTCAGTTAATTCAATTTAAAAACCATCTAAAGGTGTGGGAACCCACTATTCTGGTCCCTGGATATGGTTCGGATCTCTTAAAGACTACTGGAATTTTATGCTTAATTTGTCGCCTGTCAAGTAAAAATCGTACGTCTAATCACAGCACACCCCCGCCTTAAACAGCCCACATGATTTCAGGTGTCACTCATGTCTGTAGCTTAAATAGTGTGGGGGACTCGCTGAAGCGTTAAACCTAAGGAAAAGGGGTTTTGAAGAACTTAGCAATCACCACTAATAAGTGCAACTAATTTCTGTAAATTGAATGTACCTCGAGCAGATGTGAAGGCACACTGTTCCCTCATTAGGGAGGAGTGCTCTGAGGTCATGATGGAGCTGCTTTAATTAGCCCGGTTCAATCTGCTGTAAATCAATTAATGCTTGCAGAACGAGAGCCATTTCCACTACTTTGTTATCCGGATCTGCAAGATTATTTATTTGTGGACTGATGCATGTCGTACACTGTGTCCGCACACGGTGTACTAATGTTATATAAAAAATGATAAATGACTTCACCACTGTTCCTGTCAAGATAAGCCACTAGTATTACTCCTGAACATACTAAATGTACGGCATATACCGTTTTTATTTTAGTGAATGATGGCGTTGTGTATTATTGCGGGCTTTTTGACCAAATGCTTTTATTCCTCTTTTCTTTAAGTCACTTTGGTTAAGTATCTGTTAAATGTAAAATGTAAATGTCTGTGAAATGCTTAAATGGATATTTCAGTTTCAATTAAGTATAAAAATTGAGCAAATAATTTGAAAATGATGCAGTTTGTAGATTGGTTCACAGAGTTCAGTATATTTGAATGGTATACTGGAGATAGACATGTCCATCAGTCCTGCGATTTCAGTTAACGGGATAGTTCCAACACAATTTCATGGCAATTCGTAACTATTTTAATTTCTGGCGAATTGGTGGCGAATTGGTATGTTTTCGTAGCCTGGCAAGCCAGACCTACATCAAGATGTTAGGTCTGGGAACTCACAATTGGCATACCTCAATCCGAGGGGCGGGATAAACGGTTGTCTTTCAATATCCCTCGGCACGCAGCGCTACAACCAACCAGAGCAACGAACGGCTGTGGCTGTGCCATGCGTTTTCCCACCAGCGGAGCTAGTTGATATATTAAACTTTTGCCGTATCCGATCGTCAAAACTCCGAACACATCTTCCTTTTTTAAGAATGACTTAAGTGACGTTCTCTTAACTCCAAGTCCTCCAGAGTCGCGGCCAAATCCGATTCGAAAGACCGCTGTTCGCCAGCAGCATCTTCTTTGTTTTCAAGTAACATTAGCAGGGAAATCACCTATGGAAATCACGCGGAACGTCACATCTCTGCCGTCATTGTTAAGCCCGCCCACCAACTCTATACACGATGTGATTGGCCTGACCAGAGTTTGGTTTTTCCAGCTCGAAAAGCCAACGGAGAGTTGCTAGACCACACTTTGCTGCAAAATAATTTTTTCTGCCGCTAGGGTGCGTCTAGATTTCTAGGCTAATGTTTTCGTATTTTATTCATAGAATTTCATATAATCTGCGTTTCCACGAGTTACTAATACGTCAGCACGTTTTACTAATTCGTTCCCTTGTTTTAAGTCAATCATGTGCACAATATAATAATTTGTTCACTTCTTTTAAGTAAATCTTGTGCGCAATATATTAATTTGTTCCCTTGTTATAGTTTCAAAACGAGGGAACAAAGTAGTAAGTGTATTGTAAGACCCAAACCGTATAAATGTATACCAATTCACAACCATTTTGCCAAATCGTAAAATAGTTACGTTTTCTCATAAGTTCGGGTTTCATAGTTCACCCAAAAATGTACATTTCATTAATCATTTACTCATCCTCATGTTTTTCCAAACCTCTATGACTATCTTTCTTCCACTAAATGTTTCCACTGTTTTTGCCCATATAATGAAAGTAAGATATTTTGGTAATACATCTAATTGTTTTGGACCCCATTGACTTTCATTGTTTGAACAAAAAATGCGGAGACATTTTTCAAAATATCATCTTTTGTGTTCTACAGAAAAAAAGAAAGTCATACAGGTTTCGATTGACATAGAGTGAGTAAAGAATGAGAGAATTTTCATTTTTGGGTGGATTGTCCCTTCAAGATGTTTTTGGCAGATAGGAATGAATACATCAGTTTTTAGGATGTGGAAAGATCCGAGACAGTCTAAAATTATAAAATGTTTTATTAACAAAGTTCAGGAGGAGCATGTTCAGATAATCAACACGAGAGGAGGCTTATAGAGCCGACTTACCGCTGTTCCACGATAGTTTTTCCAGGGGGGGGGGGGTTTGGGGGAAGAGTGATCTGGATTCAGGCCAAATCCCAAGCTCGGAGCCCTCTCTTTGGACAGCACGCCAAATGCACATATTTAATACTATATCTGATTGTATGCAAGTGTGGTTTCGTGAAACAAGAATATGGCAAATTACATTTCTAAAAGCACTTACCCACCGCTCTCTGACATTCATATTGGATGCTACTACGTCGGAGTGCATTGCATCAAAACTTTCTCCAAATTTGCACTGTTGCAGTGTGCAAGGTCGCTGATAGCTTACTTCTTTATCTTATCTTCTACTTCCTCTGTGCTTCTGCACTTTGTGA